ACCTTGCACTTGGCCTTGTTAAATTAATGTATTCAATGGAAAACTAGAGAAGGAATAAGGGGGAAGATGGGCATGACCCCACTAAAATAATTTTGCAGGTTTGCAAGTCACTGTGACAGCTATGCACATTTTCAGATCTAGGCCTCATCTAGGTTTCCTCCACCTAGAAGTGGGAGAAAACTGGGAGAAATGATCACAAATAACTTATTCATCTGCTGTATATCTAAACCCAAAGCTTTTAAAGCCTTGATGGGTTGTAGTAATAGGAATGTTGCTTCATATCTTTTTGTATTCTTTTCAATTCCCACTATGTTTCTCATTTCTGCTGGTTCTCAACCCATTTTTATTCCTTTATAACCACAAATGAAGCACATTTTCTCACTCATCTTAGCAAAATGGTGTGAACTTGTGAATGGTTGACCTGAAACTTTGAGGAAAAGAATCCCACTCTCAGTTAGAAAACTAGCTAGAGAATGTTTTCAGAATCAAATGTGAAAATCTGGGGAGATTATGAGCAGCAGAAACTGATGGTTGAAAAGAAAATGGTTTTGCAATTGTGGTTGTTGTTATTAATTGTCACTTCGACTGTAATTTCACATGCTTTGAAAACAAGTGCTTGTTCTTAGCAACTTTAAGAGCAACTCTTCTGTTGCCATTGTAAGCAGAACAAACCTGATCTGATTTTATATTTGTCTCTCCATTAGTTTATTGGAAATCCTAGCATTCAGAAGTGTGGATTAAAACTACTTGCTTCTGTAACTGAGTGCACTGGTGCACTAGACATTTTAACCCAGCAGGGAGCTATTGACACTGTGCTTCACACCCTGCAGATGTATCCAGACGAACAAGGTAGGGAAGGTATTTTGTGAGTTGAATGTGAATGATGCGCTAGGAAGGGCTGATTAACCATAGAAGCTACAACCTATCTATGACACTCTTTGGTACTGGTTGTGATGTGTGTTACATGGTGTGAAAGGTCTGCAGCACTGCAGAGTCCTCAGGTTCATCCTCTTTGTACTTATGCCTGGCTCTGTAACAGCTTATGCAAATAACTTTCTGGAATATTAGGAGTATAACACTGAGGTCATGGGTGTATTCCATTCAGAATGTGTGAATAGTCAATGTTACTAATCTTTCTTCTTCTCTTCTAGACATACAGTGTTTGGGTTTGAGTCTTCTACACTCTTTGGTGACAAGAAAGAGTTTGTGTATTGCAACTATGCATGTCCTGTCAACAGTTCTGGTTTCTACTCTGCGACGATTTAGAGAGGTCACTGAAATTCAGATGCATGTATGTGTTATTTCTACATACAGAGCTGAAAGTGAAACACAAAATCTTAGCAAATTATTTTAATGTAGTTATATTTGAAGTATAATTTCTTATTTTAATTTTTTCCCTTGGATCTTATTGCAATTAGTAATTAATATAAGCCTTTATAATTAAACCAGTATGTTTGCCATAGAGTTGGTTTTCTTGGAGGCATATATTCAATTGAGAATATGTAAGTGTAGGTTTAGGTGTTTATCTAAGACTTCTGAGATCTGCAGACTATAACAAATTTCTCAGTCATGGTCCATCATTCAGTCAGTCTATAACCATTTAATTAAGTAACCGTCATTATAGTATTGATTGCCCTTTTTCGAAAAGTAATAGAAAATAACTTCATTGCTAGCCCTGGCACTAGCAATAAGCTTAGTGTAGGAATGCTGTATTCAAGAAGGTATTACTGGAATTCTGTGTCAGACTTTGGTTCTACTTGTCAATATGGAAGGAGAGTTCTTACAGTGTCTGCAAATACACATTCAGTCTTCCTCGTGTGAAAGTTCTGTTTCCTCTGCTTCAGAAGTTTTCGCTGTTTGTTGCCAGTTTCATTTTTCTAGTGGAATGGAGTTTGTCTGAGATCAGCTTCCTGTGAGAATTTCTGTACTTCTGTTTCACATCCATATGATAATATCACAAGTAGAACCAGCCTTCTTTACTGCTGTTTTTCCCCCAACCCTTCCAAGTTTAGCTTAGCAGCCAGTGTAGGGAGAAATAAAAATAATGTAGTGGAATAACAAAATTACTTAAAAGTAATTTAGTCACAATTAGGTTTGGAGAGTCCATGATTTACTCAGTTCACCCTTTGAGGTGAACTTTGCTTGCAGAACCACAGTATAATTCTATATTTCCTTTTATTTTTTAGTTACAACTTCTAAGTTTTTCATTTAACTTAGGTATTTTTTCCAAATTCAAGATTAGAGAGCAACACATTTGGACAGGGGATGCTTCTTTGTCCCATATCCTTAGGAGATTGTTCCCTCTGTACATTTGCAGGAAATCATGAGTACATTTGTCACTGCCAGGCAGGATGTTGTCAGATATTATGGTGGATAATTTGGCTTTTCAAAGTGTCAGTTAGTATCTGTCTAAGTGGGTCAGCTAAACAAGCGTGTAACTACTGTATAAACACAGAGATACTAAGTGTTTCTGCCTTGTCTCCTGATCTTCTCCAAATTTTGAATAACTGCATGTTTAAAAGCAAGGAAAAAAAATTACAGCACATATCTTGAGGGTTGAAATTTGATTTTGTTTCACAACCTGTTTTAAAATGTCACACTTTTAACACTGTACTTATTTCAATCTTCTCATTGTGTTCTTAGGGATTTCATGCAATCTTGTCAATTCTTGGTTTGTCACCTTGTTTTGCAAAGTTGCTGGTACATGAATCATTTGACACAGTCATTTTCTACCAGATGTCTATGTGTTTCACTGACCAGCGAGATCGACAGGTATCTCCTCTCTTTTGACAGCTCCATAGCTGAAAAATGTTGATGCTTTTTTTTGACCTAACTTTGATTGTTTGTCTTCCCATTCAGTTTCAAAGCCTGTGTTGTAAATGTTTTGCTAAAATAGCTGAAAATGATGATTTAAAAAATATGATGCTGGAAAAAGCATGTATTGAGTACAATAGTATTATGGCTGAATGTTTACTTCTACTGGGAGCTGATATTAATAAGAAGACAAAGACAAACTCTTTGATCTATCAGGTAATACATGGAAATGTATATAGTTTTATTGATTTAAAATTTGGGCTTTGGGTTTGTTTCTCTTTTCATGTAAACATATATTTGGCAGAACACAGCAGCAATGCCCAGTGCAATCTAACTGTGACCTAAGTGGTGTAAACCATTGCTACTCATGGTGAGTTCAGCCTCAGTCTGATGTTCATTGATGTTCATTTACTGAAGCTCGCAGCATCACTGTCCCCTAGAATGTGCCCATGCTGCCAGTCCTGTTCTGAATGCAAGTTCACTTTAAAGTCCATGCTTTCTGATTGTTTACCCTGTTCATGTGCAAACCTGGGTTCAGTCAGGTACTGTCTTAGCCTTAGCTTTGGAATATTTTGGGGGAAGAAGACTTAAGCTTGAGGTTTGCAATCTCCCAGTCATTTTTTCTGAACCAATCAGGCTGGATCAAGCCCATTAGACCCCGGTCCCTGAATTGATATTCCAAATGCAGCTCTTTCCAAGCTCTCTGAGGCTGAAGTACAGAGGGACCAGCAGGCAGCACTGTGCATAGATGGGTTTTGCTGTGCTTAGTCCCAACCTGCAAAGAAGGCTTTGCCCAGGTGCCTGTCCTGGGGTAGTGGGTTTTTTTTTACTTTGTGTTATACTTAAAGATGAATGTTGTCATCAGGTTTTGTGCTGATGTAACTGTTCTGGTTAGAGTTCTGACTTGTATCAACACAGCTAAAGTAATATCTTGGAATGCCTGCATTGGCACTAGATGCAAAGGGCTTTGTCCAGACAGTGGCCACATCCCGAGCATCAACTATTTGAAATATGTTGGTGCCTTAAATAAGGCCATAGACAAACATCGCATCTGGATTCAGCCGTGACAACGGAGAGGCTGTTCCCACCTGTTTATAGGTGCTCCTTGCTAAATGTGACTGCCTTGAGAAACAGTGTGTGTGAACGCTTCCTAATTTTGCTTCAGTGTCAGAGTTTTAAATGGTGATATAACCCCACCAGTAGTGCCTGAAGTGCATCAGGAAGTATTCACTTCTGCTGGCAGAGCAGGCTGGGTGATAATGCACAGCTGAGTTTGGAACTGACCATCCATCCACGGCATCTTAGGTAGGCAAATCAGAGTTAGCGAATCACAGTGGAAATACTGAAATAATTTGAAGTATTTATAGAAAACTTTTTTAATATTCACAGTTAACACTGCTCTGTGTAGCAACGCAGGCAGAGAGATTGGAAGGAGTAAAGCTGACTGAAGCCTGTGTACCTGAGCTCACTACCACTAGGCAAGGCTTGATGAGTCTCACATTTGTTGCCTGTTCATCTGATATCCAGATGACATGGCAAAATAACCCCTAAGTGTCTTTATGGACTTGCCATAGATGGCATGCAATAAGCAAACTATAAATTACCATTCATTTTTGCATGGAAATTGTGTGCACTTATGGTAGAAATTACAATTATGGAACTCAGGCATTTGTTGTATTTTGGGCTAAGACCAGGAAAATGGGAGTTGGTACTTAGGCAGGTGTGTGCTCTGAGAGGCAGGGAACTGTATAATTGAAAGAGAGACATGATCCTAAAAATACAATTAAACTGAATTTGACACAAGTCTTTTAATGCAGTCTGGGCAGTTGTTTGAGTGCCTTGCATAATTTTTTTAATTGTTTTTCTCCATTAGGTTTGTGAGAAAGGAAATAATCCTAAACTGGTGGAATTGCTATTAGCCAATGGTGCTCGAGAGCAGGATGTTCGAAGTGCTTTAACTGTCAGTATAAAGAGAGGAGATAGCCAAATCATCAGCTTGCTCTTGAAGAAGCTTAGCCTTGATGTTGCTAACAGCAGTATATGTCTTGGAGGATTTGGTATTGGGAGACTAGAACCTTCCTGGCTCATTCCTTTGTTCCCAGATAAACTTATTCCATTAAGAAAACAAAGTAAGTATATATAGAATTAGCTATATGAAATGTGACTTGTTGGTACTATATAAGTGTTTAAGACCTTCAGTTGAAGGATTTCTTTATCGCATTCAGCTGATTATAGAAAGGCTGACAAACCTTGAGAATAAATCAAGTTATTTCTGGTTGTTTTGGGTTTTCTTTTTTAAGTTATTTTGATTTCTTAGAGAATATGCTCTCTGTTTGGTTTCTTATACATACAGATGCAGGTTCTGCACTGGCAAGAATGGTGCTTAAATTTCAGATGAAGAATATTTCAGAGGATAGATCAGGAGCCTCCTCTGATCTAAACTTCTCTGAAGATGGAGTGGATAAAAACTATGATTGGAATTTCATTTCTGACCCACTAGTGGACAGTGTTTTTCCTTGGAGTGATGATATTGATAGTGAAGGTAATTTTTTTTTTCTTTTTATACTCTGAATCTAGTGTACCAGGGCTAGACCATAGTCATAAATCAGTTGTTTGTTTGTATTTGAGATAAAACCCCTCCAATAAAAAAAATACTTTTACCTAAAATTTTGTTTGTGGTAATATTGGAAAATAGTTTATGGTGAATAAGTATGTGCTTTATCTACAAAATTTGGACCTTAAAGCAGGACCTTTTATTCAGTTATCCTTTTAAAATCAGTTCTTCATGCATTTAATTTCTTGCAGAGAGAGAGTGTGGGATTCATCCAACCAGATTTAGATACTGACTCTGGTGGTGACTCAGCTATTCTCATATACCGCCTTCACAGTCAGTAGCAAAAAGCAAGTGCTTCAAGAGCACAGTTTATCTCATCAGGAAGTCAGATGATTTGTGATCTAGAAATCCGTTTCCTGCGTCATCTGTAAATAATGTGCACACAACTAAATCTGGTATAGAGTACTATGTCGTTAACAAATAAAGTGGGTGAAACAAGTCCTATACCAAAGATATCCGATTGATCAGAAAGTCTAAATGACTGGTCTCTGTTCAGTCCAACATCATTCTTGGTAACCATGTCAGGAAATCTGAATGCCTTTAACTTACGAAAAAAAGCATTTCTGCCTGTAATATTGGTAAGTTAATAATAAGTGTCCTTAACTTGCAATATGACTTTTGTTTGTTCAGATGTCACTATTGTTTTAGAACTGTTGGATACTTAGAATCATCACAGATGAAGAGTTTGAATCTTAGAATCTGAGGATCCTAAGGAATTTTTTTGGTTGTGTTTTGTTCTTTTCCTTTACATCACTCAGCACCACTTTTTCTTTCTGTAGGACTGTAGCACAGGTATATAATAGGTACTATATATTGTTCCCCATAGGAGAGTTGTTCAATCATATGTAAATTATGGTTAAAAATATACAGGCTTTGCTAACAGGAGTGATTTTAGGAGTTTTAAAAGTAGCTTTGAGAAGAGGAACTCTAAATCAGTCTAGATAACCCTAGATCACCAAAGCCAGAGAGGCATGTGGCGCTTCATTGTCAGTAAATGTGAGACTGATCATTTATCTATTAAAATACAAACTTTTTCTGTTTTAAGAAGTTATTTGCACTGCAGTAGCACAAATATGTGTTATGAAACATGCATAATAATCCCAACCTGCTGGAATTTTAAATGATAAAGCATCAATGTAACAAGCTTCAGATCGTATTTGGAGCACGTCAGGTTAGTATGGCCCATGTACTCTCAAACATGTTGACAGTGTTCTTGGGCTACTGCACATGCAATTAACCAGTGAGATCCTGCCAATACTGATGCTTTTAAAATACATCTCCATCGTGTGTCAGCTTCTATATCACAGTTGAATTGTGAGCCTCACCTTTAGGTACATTCTCTTACTTATTTGTCCTCCTGTGTTATTCTTTTGTACTAGGAAGTGAAGGTTCACTTTTTACAAAAAAGAAATCCAATTCCATTTTTTTTAGGGAAATGGCATTTCAAAGAGGTTCTCCTACTTTGCCACGACATTCCTACTCTGTGGTAAGTCACATCCTTATTCATTCCAGGCTTCTTGTAAGTCCATCTGTGTGGCCTACTGCAAAATTCTTAATAATCCAGTGTTAGGAAGGGTCATGTAACCGTATGGGCTCTTGTGTCACTGTTGCCATTTAATAATTCCTTCTATTGCTGTGCGATTACTGTTCTCCAGATCACTGTACAGAGGAGAGTTTATTTCAGGAAAAATTTGTGCTCAATAAAAAGTGCACATTCTTGTGAATTGCTCAAATTCCCAGTCTGATGTTCAAATGCAGATAGAGAAACTGTGGGCCTGTTCGCAAAGACTGAACTACCCCTTAGGGAAGCTGTTCTTCAGAGTGCCGCTGCAGTCAGTGAAGAGAGATCAATTCCATAAAAAGACATGAGTAAGAATCAGTAAAACAAAAGTCAGGTTCCTTTGAGAGGAGCTTGTCTCTTTCCATTGGCTGTAAAGGGAGACTGGAGAGACTGGCTTCTCTAGAGGAAGTGTTAAGAACTGTGGGATGTAAATAACTGTTCTTTTTAGTTGAAATGTACAGTTCCTTTGTGTTCTCCTGGAAGTTCTGATAAAAAGAAACCACAACAAAAAGAAATGTACTGAATTCAGATAATTTCAGATATCTGCATAGGTCCATAACTGGTTTCTGTTCTCTTTGGGGATTTTGCAGGGACCTGGCTCAGATTATGGTCCACTAATGAAACAAAAAAGAAAAATCTTGCCTTCAGATGAACCCCCCAGTAAGTAACAGATATTTTCATCCTTGGTGCCTTCACAAGTGTAGCATGCAAAGAATTTAGTCAGGTTATATACTTGTTTACAAAGAGGAGAACACATGCTGGAAATACTTGACTTCACAAGTAATTTATGTTGAATTAAACAGGCAATGAAATTTCATGAGTGCCCTTTCAAAAGAGACTTCTGTTGTGCAGTGCATAAGCATCCATCTCTTCCCTACTGTCTTATAAATTTTTGTCTCCTAATAGAAGTCTTCATGCATTTGGGTCTTAACCAATATCCAAACACTCACTGCCTTCTACATCATTAGATCCTAAGTTGCTTGGTCTCAATTATGTGATAAATTAAATCATGCTATTTTTCCCATGTTTTGTTTTAATAGAGGGCATCTCAAAATTTTCACCACATATGAGGTCATCAGACAGTCTTTCTTCATTCGTCTCTGAGAAAGAATACATTAAATCACTAGATCTTTCATCAAATGAGCTGGAGAACATTGATGCCATCAGCCAGAATAGCTGCTTAACTAGTCATCTGGAACATCTTGAGAAACTGGAGCTCCACCAAAATGCACTTACAAACATTCCAGAACAACTGTGTGAAGTAATTCTGCATAATTTTATGTAATACAAGTTGAGATTAGTTACAATAAATTGCCCCTAACAATGTACTCATAACAATACTACTCATGAATATGGGTGTGTATTTTTGCATGCTTCAGGCATTCGCTCAATTTTCATTCAGTGGATTTATGTTCAGCTAGAAATAAAAGTATTTTCATGGAAATGTTTTAAGTCATTGACTGCAGAGAACTGCTTTAGGAGGTGTTACATCAAGTAACATAAAAATATAAATGGAACCAAGAACTGCAGACAATTCATATCTCTTGAGTTTTATGAAACTGAGCTAATTAATTTTGAAGAATGCTTTATTCTGTAATAGAAATATTATGAGTTATGTTGGTATGATTGCTATTTTCTGCTATTTTTCCTAGTGAGAGAAATATAAATAAATTAATAAATTATGTAAAATACAACTCAGTTTAAAACCTATACATTCATCTTTTCATTTGACTTTTTAAAAACAAATTATCCTTTTCTTTCAGACCTTGAAAAGCTTGACTTACTTAGATTTGCACAGCAACCGATTTACTTCTTTTCCGACTTACTTACTGAAAATGAATTGTATTGCAAATCTTGATATCTCTCGAAATGACATTGGACCTTCCTTCGCTTTGGATCCATACCTCAGATGTCCAACTCTAAAGCAACTTAACCTTTCGTACAATCAGCTGGTGTGCACTCCTGAATTTCTTACAAATGTTGCTGAAAATCTGGAACAGCTATTGCTAGAAGGGTGAGTAGCAGTAATAAATGGACTGTACCAGGACAAACGTAACAGAAAATAATATATTTGTCATACAGAATGATGACTGTTACAGCATGGGAAGAATTGTATAGTCAGCAGTGAAACACTGACTTTATCTTCCAAATGTGTAAATTGCTACAGCTTTCAGTGTCTTGTTACAAAGTACATGAGAGTATATGTGGGCCTTGGTAGAATCCAATAGCAATTGCAGTTTCTGTCAGTAACATACTAAAATGTTGTACTTCAGTGTTTTTCTACTGCCATACTATTCATCCACTGGACTGTCAGTGTTCTCTAACATGTTCAACTAGGTTTCCTGTATACAGAATACAGTTTCCACTGTATTTTATATACACCGAAGTTTTTATGGAAGTATGATTCATGGAACTGTATTTATTGCTATGGATATATTATAAATGACAAAATCAGAGAAAATATGTAACTTTTAGTTTACCAGCACTTTTTATCATATTTGTTAGTGAGTGAGATAATTCATACCTATACGTAATTCTCAAGAAGGCTATTATTGATTGCAGTATGTAATCAGGGAATTACACCTTGGAGTGCATTCTGACATTTGCTCTCCAAATTAGTTAAAACAATCTTAGTATCCGTCATGTTATTCCATGTTGCCACATGTACCAGTATTTTTGCTGACTGGTCAGTCTTTATATAAATAAAAGTCTTATTTTTGGGTTATCAATGTAAGGATAGCATTGTCACATCGATACTATTTTGCTTTTTAGCTAATAGTTGCTGAATAAAACATGATTATTTTTTTCTTCTTGTTATCATAGAAACAAAATTTCATGCTTATGTTCACCCATATGCTTGAAAGAACTGAAAATTTTAAACATTAGCAAGAACAATATTTCATCCCTTGCTGAGAATGTCTTCATGGGCTGTACAAAACTGGAGCAGTTCAATGCCAAGATGAATGCTCTTGGTAAGTATCTGTGAAAATAGGATCTGCCTTCTAGAAACCACTCCAAGTCACAGAATTCCTTAGCCACCAGCATTTGGAGTCTTGGTGAACAGAAGAATGCTTGTTCTTGTTTATACAGTTCCCTAAGCATCAGTTTTTGATCCTTGTTGGAAGCAGTATTCTTCCAATGGGGCTTGATGGACTTTTGATCTGCCTCAGTGTAACTCATCTTGGTTTTATATTTGGAGTGGATGCTATAAACATGGTTGGGTGTGCTTGCGATCGTACTCGCTGTTGGGGAAGGTTCAAGGTAGAGAAAATTGTTCAAAGTTAGGTTGCAGATCTAGTACTAAAACAGGTTTAATATTGTACTGAAATATGTATCATACAAACACCTAGGCTTTTATCAGAAATAATGTGGCCAGCGGGACTAATGAAGTGATTGTCCCCCTGTGCTTGGCACTGGTGAGGCTGCACCTCGAATTCTGTGTTCAGTTTTGGGCCCCTCACTACAAGAAAGACATTGAGGGGCTGGAGCGTGTCCAGAGAAGGGGGACAGAGCAGGGGAAGGGTTTGGAGCACAAGTCCTGTGAGGAGCAGCTGAGGGAACTGGGGATGTTTAGCCTGGAGGAGGCTCAGGGGAGACCTTATCGCTCTCTACAGCTACCTGGAAGGAGGTTGCAGAGAGGTGGGGCTTGGTCTCCGCTCCCAAGTAACAAGTGATAGGACAAGAGGAAATGGCCTCAAGTTGTGCCAGGGGAGATTTAGAGTGGATATTAGGAGAAATTTCTTCACCGAAAGGGCTGTCAGACATTGGAATGGGCTGACCAGGGATGTGGTGGAATCACTATCCCTGGAGGTGTTTAGGAGACGTGTAGATGTGGCGCTTAGGGACATGGTTTAGCAGTGGACATGGCAGCGTTAGGTTGATGATTGGACTTGACGATCTTAAAAGGTCTTTTCCAACGTAAATGATTCTGTGATTCTAAGTATTACCACACTACATCCTGCATTGTCTTCTGAATAAGGTAGAATGTTTGATTCACTTGCCTGAGTGCAGATGTCATTTGAGATGCCCTGAAAATGCCCGCGTGGCTTAGAGCTTCTGGTCCAGAAATATGTCTTCCATAGCTCTGATGTTGTAGCTCCAAGCCATGTGCAGATAGCTCAGGTACCACAGGGCAGGTCATCTACACTAGAACCCAGTGTTTAAGCAATTGAATTAAATCCAGAGTGTGTTCAGCGGCTTAGCATATTTTATGCAAAGGTATCAAAATTAATTGACCTATCAAAAATACAAATTACATAGTTGAGATTTTAATAATACTGCAGGAGTTCACAAGCTACTGTCAGAATTTATTTCTGTCTTCAAGACAAAACCTTCCATTTTGGATTTATTGTCCCAGTATTTCTAATGGTAGTTCTTATACCTGCATTAAACACAGCTGAACCATTAGAATCACTTCCATATGCATAAGACCCACCACTCCCTGCGTGAATTATGTGAATATTACGTATACTGGCAATACAGTAAAGTGTAAGTAAGATTATTTCAGTGTTTAATGCCCATATGTGATGAAGTATAATAGTATGTAATGTAATAAAAGCCAGTACATTAACTCAGTTCTAAAATTCCTTCATTTTGGGAGTTTAGTTTTAAAGAACCCTTAAAAAAAAGATTCAGATTCTGCCTCTGGTAGCTTGCACAAAGACCTGTGTATAGAAGGTGATAGACTGGCTGTTTAGTTTGTCTCTGATTTTAGAAAATTCCAGTCTCAAAAATAATTTTAACAGTTCTGAAAATTAATAGGATTATCCTCTTTTTCTGCTCTAGAAATAATACCTGACTTGCCATCCAGCATAACAAGCTTAAAATTATCCCAAAATGGTTTTATTAATGTTCCAGAAGCAATTCTTCTTCTACCACAGTAAGTTATTATTTTATTTATTGAAGTTAATGACAAGTTCTTGATGAAGAAAATCTGATGGCAAGACCTTTGTTAAGCAGAAAATTCTGCATGTTTTACTGAGCTTCATTAAATCCTCTCTAACAAGTTAAATCCAAAACTTAGTAGCTTTCAGCTGAAGACAAATCAGTCACATTTTCTTCATTATTTTGAGAAATTCTGTTCCTCAAATTCAAATCACTGTTATTGAAAGTACATAGCTTGACAGCTGAAGCTAGCAATTCTTGCTGAGAAGACCAGAATGAATTTATTGTTTTCTTGAAATCAACAGTGAAAATATATTAGCAACTTTTCCTTTTAAAGAAGTTCTGCAGACTTTCACAGAAAGCTACTGAGATTAGATTTTCACTTCCCAAATATCGCAAGATATTTATTTTCAAAAAAAGACACTTCCTCTAGATGGAGTTGTGATAATAAGCATGTGACATTTATTTTGCTATACCTTCGAAGCACTGTTCATGTGAAAATCCAACTTCTGCTTTTTTTTATGGAAGTTACTGACCTTAACAGGTCACTAAAATGAGACTGCGGCAGGAGTGCTTGGAAGGGATGATCAGATCAGTTAGCTGATAGATGTGGTAGGTGTGAGTCCTGGTGGCACCATGGGGAGGGCAGATCCACAGATTTGTGGAATTACATTAATCAAATTTACATAGGGCACGTCATTATTAACATGATATTACAGTGTTTCAGCATGCTAACATTTATATTGACAGCAGCAAATTTAATGAAAGTGTTGAAAAAGGTGCAGCTTTTGCATTCTGCATCTCCCAGCCCAGACAAATTAACAAGAAGTTGCATGTGTTTTTTGCATGCTTCATGTTCCACAGTAAGATAAACAGCGTATTTGTCCAACAGATGACTTATAGAAATGAAATGTTCTTTTTTATGTAGTTCTTAAATACACGTGTAGTTGAACTATATATTCATGCACATTCATGTATTTACAAACATATTCTAGAAAGTTCTGATATTCATACCATCTGATGTTAGTCTTCTAAATTAGGAGCAAGAAAGAGAGATTACCTAGTGAGACACCATAGTTGGTAAGTGGAATCTTGGGTTTTAGAAAGTTGATAATACTAGGTAGTTCCCCATTGCTTTTTTTAATTGGAAATTTATTTTAAAATCACATGAAAATACATATTAGTATTACATTAGATTGAAATTAACTTTTAAAATACATTTATTCCAGTGAATCAGACATTGCACGTAACGGTGTACTCCATCGCCCTGCCCTCAGCTGTAACTGGAATCCTGAGCTGTACTCTATTCTTTTTTACCTGGGTAAAAAAGTATATTAACTGTGCTGTTTACAGTTGAATTACTGAATATTTGCACTAAAGGAGTGTGAATCGTGTCTTCTACCGATCTGAACAGAGCCATGCATGTGTACAAACATAGAAGGTAGAAGGAAGTGGGCTATTACCACAATATGTACACTTCCTTGAAGTGACTCTGTAATTTACCATCTCAAACATACACACACTACAGTGTGGAGCTTTGTTACCATGATCAGGCAATTTAATTCACAGACAAATACATGGACAGAATACAATTCTGTATCAGTCGTATGTATTTTCTTAGAATTTTCCTGATGTCAAAAAGACCTACTTATAATCTTAATTATTTTTGCTCATAGTAGTAATTATCATCTTCTATCTACATTCCTGTCAGAAAGCTGTCTTTTCTGAGATTGACTCCATTTGTTTATTTATTAAAAATTAATACAGTTCCAGTTAATCTCATTTTTACTTTTTTCATTTGCTAACTTCTCTCTTTTTTTATTTTTATGTGTTTAGTTTGCGATCAGTAGATTTAAGCCAAAACAAGATCATTAGCCTGCCTGGACCAATGCACTGGAAATCGCTAAATTTAAGGGAGCTGTTATTTAATCATAATCAAATAGATGTCTTGGACTTGAGTGAAAAGGCGTGTGCATGGTCTAGACTAGAAAAGCTACACCTGTCCCACAACAAGTTAAAGGAGGTAAAGTGTACAATTCTACCTAAAGAAAATCACTCCTCAGTTGAATGCAATTTTTCAGTGTTCATTTGATTTTCACATCACCTCTCATATCATTATAAATTCTATCAATAAAATGGTACATAAGTGCAAATGAAATGAAACTGTGAATGAAAATTACCATGTTCTATTAAGCTGTTCTGTCCAGAATGTGTCATGTAATCAGTTTATATAATGAATTCATTATGAGGTCCTTTGTCGATTCATATGGGACATTAAGCCTGTTTAATAAAAAAATAATTAAACTATAGCAATAAAAATAATACCTAGTTTTCTTAAATATTTAATGTGTTCATGCTCATGCATTTCTTTAACATTTAAATATCCATTAAAATATTTTTTTACTTAGATTCCTCCTCAGATTGGCTTCCTAGAGAACTTGACTTCTCTGGATGTAAGTCATAATCCTGATTTGAGATCCTTTCCAGATGAAATGGGAAGACTCTCCAAAATCTGGGATCTTCCTCTGGAAGGACTCCATCTTAATTTAGACTTCAAACATGTGGGATGCAAAGCCAGAGACATTATCAGGTTTGTTGCCGTATTGTTTTTCAGTATTCTTGGTTTGCTTTCTTGGGATATGCAGTAAGAATTAAGAAAACAACATATCCTTTTGAAAAGACAGGCTGGTTTGCCATACGAAATCCAGCATGCTGCTCTATGGAAGGTATCCTATCTTATTATATCGTATCGTATCATATATCTACACACACATATGAAGTAGATTACAGTGATTTAGACTACAATAGTATTAACTCTTGAATTTGGTGCTTCTATAAACCATGCAATAAATGATGATGATCACTTATTTCTAACATGTTTCCTGTGTTCCCAAGTGCATTGCACAGAACACATTTTTGTTAAATTACAGATTTCAAATCAGAAATTAGAATAGACTCTTAAAATCCCAGCAATATCCAACAGATATTGAAAATTTGAAGAAAATCATGTCACAGAATCAAAGAATGGTTTGGGTTGGAAGGGACCTTAAAGATCATCCAGTT